AAAAGTAACCCAAAAGAAAAAGGGGTTATTTCTGCTTACAGTTTAGGGTCCATCATGAAGAAGTCAGGACAGAAACTTAAGCAGGATCCTGAAGTCAGGAACTGAAGCAGAGGCTATGGAGGGGAACTGCTTACCAGTGTTCTCTCCACACCTTCCTCAGTTTGCTTTCTTATACAATTCAGGACCACCTGCACAGATTTTGTACCGCCCCCAGTGGGCTGGGCCCTCCCATATCAATTATTAATCAAGAAAATGTCCCACAGAGTTGCCTACAGGCAATCTGACTCATTGTCTCAATTGAAGTTGTTTTCCCTGATAACTTCAGCTTGTGTCAAAAAGAAAAAAAAACCAGGATAGAAACCAATTATTACCTACATCACTGTTTTAAATATTATAAGTTGATATCGTACAATTAGTTTAAAAAAGCTGTTGTGGACACCAAACACACAGAATTAAAGGCACAAAGAGTTGAGAACCAGCTAAGCATTCTAATGGTCTTTTTTTCATGGAAAGTAGATTTTTTAAAAACTTGCCTACATGCAAATGGAGGGTAAACTTAAGTACACTGCTAACATAAAGGTGACTTACCAAGTATGAAATGTTCTACTGAATCAAAAAAAATCAAGAAAATTATGTTATCAAGCCAGAAGATATTTTTGCCTTGAGTAAAAAGATGAAGGTGGTCAGGGACTAGGAATCAAACATGCTCAGAAACATGTTTAATAGAAAACAGCACTCCAAAAACCATAATCAGCATTTACTGAGGAGCAAACAATACTCTAACAACATTAACCTCCAATCTTAAAGATGTTTCAGTCAAGTACTATCGACAGACAGACACACAGACACACACACAGACACACAACCACACCCACACATGAAGATCTGAGTTCAGATTCCTAGCTCCAAGTGTCTGTAACTCCAGCCCTTGAGGGGACCGGAGAAGGCACAGATGGATCCCTGGAGCTCCTTGGCCAGCCAGAGTAGCTGACATCTCAAAAAAACCCAAAGTAAAGCAATAGAGGAGGACATTTAATGACAATCTCTGATCTCTACAAGAATATGCATAGATGTGCGCACCCGCACCCTCACCCACACGTGTTCTCTAATTAGAAATTATTTTTCAGAGCCGGGCGGTGGTGACACACGCCTGTAATCCCAGCACTCGGGAGGCAGAGCCAGGCAGATCTCTGTGAGTTCGAGACCAGCCTGGTCTACAGGGCTAGTCCAGGACAGGCTCCAAAGCTACAGAGAAACCGTCTTGAAAAACCAAAAAAAAAAAAAAAAAGAAAAGAAATTATTTTACCAAAAATTACCTCATAACACCTTTTCTTTAACAAATTGCCTCCTGCCCCTCTCTTCTTCTATCAGCCTGCTTTTGTTCCTTAGTACTACTACCTTGTTTTTTAATTGTGTTTTTCTCAGATACTTCAAATACAGTACACCAAAGTTTCAGCCTTAAGGGAAAATTAATCACTGTGTACCCAAAAACTGTTCTGCACACTATATCCAGCCTGTTCAATGTTTAAAAAAAAAAAAAAATCACCAGTTAGACCACAGTTAGAGCTCACACCACAGCCTGGTCTATAGAGCAAGTTCCAGGACAGTCTGGGCAACACAGAGAAACCCTGTCTCGAAAAACAAACAAAAATACTCAACCCAACCAGGCAAAAAGTGATACACGCCTTTAATCCCAGGACTTGGGAGGCAGAGGCAAGCCGATCTCTGTGAGTTCGAGGCCAGCCTGAGCTACAAAGTAAGTTCCAGGAAAGGTGCAAAGCTACACAGAGAAACCCTGTCTCAAAAAAAAAAAAAAAA